TTTAACGTTCGACAGTTATGCACTTATAATAAAAACTTTTTTCTAATCCACATCAGATTGATTTTCTAAAATATATAGAATGTATTTAAAGCACCACCTGTAATAGTGTAATTATTATATCTTCAGTGTTAGTTTGTAAGTCCATTTGTAGAGTCGCAACTATTTTTTTCATTTCCTAAAATGACGCAAACTTAAAAAAAATAAAAAATTTTCTAATCCACAAGTGTATGGGTTTTTCTGGCCAACCAAATATTTTACGACTAAAATTCCAAAGTGGGGGGGGGCTAAGCATGTCCCCAGCCCCCTACTTTGAAAATTGAATAACTTTGGAAAGAGTTGAGCACAAACGAAGCACAAACGAATGGAGTTAATATGTTCAAGTTCATGTTAAGTGCTAACTAAAAATTTAATACTTTAATGTAATATGTTTACATATTATATTAAGTTATACATCAATATCTGATATATTTAATGTACTTAATATAGGTACCTACCTATGTATTCTTAATATAATGATTTCAAAGGTAGACAACAAAAATATTGATTAAAACAATTATTATTTAATATTTAAAAATAATTAGAGATTAAATTTATTTCTTAATCTATAATAAAAGTATAAAACACTAAATTATAGGTACCTATAATTTATACCAAAAATAACCCTTATACTTTATAATATAATAAGCATCCAATATTAGAGAACCGTAATATAATAGTATTTAAATATATTACGTATACAATAGTAGGTATACATTTCATTACACTTACCCTTCTCATTGTAAAGTCCAATTTTTTCTTCCAATTTTGAAAGTGGAGCATGCACAGGTCCAAAATTTATTTTCCTCCACTCGTCATGTAGGTAGTATAAATGCCTCATTGTCGGATTTATACTACTATTAGCAAGCAGCATACAAGAAGCGTCTTGTAGAAGCAATTTGCTTTCGTGCAAACTTCTAGCTTCACTGGGCGATAAGCCATTTTCAAAGTACTCAATAAATATATTGTCAGTCTGAAAAAAGTTATTGTAAAGTCAATTTTTTTACATAGCTAGTCTTATACTATTTATCCTTAATATAATATTATATATTACACAATAATAAATTATATAATAATACTTTATAATTATACTCATACAATTAGGGATTTATACTATTATAGAGTTCATAAGGAAGTTTTTATTAATATTTATATTACTTAATAAATAAATAATTACCTCATTTTTTGTTCTCAAATATTTTAAAGCATCACATGAATCCACTGGATGGTTGTGATTCCAAAAAATTTTTACTTTGGCCGAAAGTGAAGGCGCATATTTTAGGTAGGGGTCATTCTTCCTGGTATTTTTATTATTTTTTTTTATCAATATGTCTATTGTTGACTTACAATTAGTATTAAGTTCTGTAATTTTAGTAATACTTTTATTTTTTGATGAGTGATGACAAATAAAATATTTGTGTAAAATAACCCTACAAAATTAAGTTTTTATTATAACTGTTTAATTTTTTTAATTAACTACACAGTACACTTTACATAAATATTATGTTTGTTATGTCTTACTTAGTAGGTTTTTGTAATTCAGATTGAAATATATATGATGTATTAGTCAATGTAGAAAATAAATCTAAAAACTTTTTGGCTGAACTACTATCATAAATATTAGTTCTAATTACAAACTTTTGTGATTCGACACAAGACTCGTTAACATCAATAACACACACATATTCATCACCCAGTTTACTGAGGTAATCTTTTAAAGAATTAATGTTCATTTTGAAGTTTAATGAAATGCTTCTATAAAATTACACTGTTCGGATTTCAAAAGTAATTTCAAATTGTATTATGCATTTATGCAAATAGAAAAATTATTTATAATTCTAATAATAGTATGCTATACTAAATGATAAAAGTTAAAAAACATATGATTAGATATGAGATACAATATTAAAAACACAGAAGTAATGATAATTGTTAAAATATTTTGAACTGAAGTTAAATTGGTAGTATGCAATAAGTACAATAATAAAAATAATAAATATATACATAATGATTTCCATTTTGATATGGATGTGTTTAATATCATTGCATTTAACATAAAAAAAAAAAAGTTATATTAAAAATATTATATAGGTTATATTTAACCATAAAATATTAACATAAATAACTTAACATAATATAAATATTTAATGGAAACATGTTGCACAGTTTGAAAATTAATTGTAAAATAGATCCATGTTATTAACCATGTTGACTACCTATTGACATTAATAAATTTAATGGTGAATAACAGTTTTTCAGATGGTAAAATTAAAGTTGAGCTGACGGTAGCATGTCATTTAAACAATAAAAAATAATTTTAATGGGACTGAAAAGAGTTGGTATGTATATTTTGTGTTGGATTAAAGAATAAAGTGTGTAATTTGTAAACAAAAGATGTAAGAAGTGTTACAATATACTGTTGTAATTTTAGTAGGTAAACGCATCATTACATCAATGATAATTAACTTACACACTGTAACATGTAATAGTCAAAGTCTGCACCACTAAATTGATGTATAACATTGGTTTGCTTAGCTTCACTTTTATTCATAGACACATTACAAATAATGTTTAAAGAATAAATAAATAAATTATGAAAATTTAATTTTCTTTTCTACCTATTGTGACTTATTAATAGGGTACCTAGTGTCAGTGGCGGCGTGAACTATTTTATTTTATGAGGCAAGTATAAATGCTGGACCACCACCACCTAAATTTTATCACACAGACCCGTGGGGGCTTTGCCCCCACACCCCCAATTCACAATTCTACAACGATAATATACTTTGTTATGTTAATATCAGAAATATAATAAAATTATTATAAAATTAGTATAATTAATAGTATTAGAGTATTAGACATTAGTTGACCATATTTATTTATTTATTTTTTATTAGGGTTAAGGCTTCGACAACTTAGGTCATTAGCCTATGGTGCTGTAGGGGAGGGTACTGTAGATTTGTTACACGTGTCTGTTTGTTTTGGCAGAATTTTTTGTTTGGGGCACCCGTAGGTATTTGTCATGCCCGGGTGGGGGATGGCGGCACTTATTCTCCGTGACTTGCCCAAAGAAAATTGCCGCCCGCGACCAAGGAATCGAGCTGGCCCCGGCTGCGTCGCGACCGACGCCTTAGACCACTCGGCCACTCCGTCCCCTTGATCATATTTCATATGTGGTTTTTAATATCCGTACCCGGGGGGGGGGGTACCACCACCTAATTGGTCGTGAGCCAATTGCCTCAAGAAACACCCTATCACGCCGCCACTGCCTAGTGTTAAAGATTAGTTATTAAAAAATATTACTAGAACCAAACATTTATTATGCTATTACATTTTTAAATCAAATATAATATATACACAATAATATATAATTTATATTACTCATAAAATTAGTTAACTCGTTAACATCAATAACATAAACAAATTCATCACTCTGTTTACTGAGGTAATCTTTTAAAGAATATTAATGTTCATTTTGTAATTGAATGAAATGCTTCCATAAAATTACACTTTTCAGATTTCAAAAGTAATTTCATATTCTATTATATAGGTATATTGCATTTATGCAAATAAAAACATTATTTATAATTCTAATAAAAGTATGCTGTAGTAAATAAATTATAAAAGTTAAAAAAAACAAAATTGATGATGATTGTTATAATATTTTGAGCTGTAGTTAAATAGGTAATATACAATAAGTATAATAATAAAGGTAATAAAAGATATAAGAACATGAAAGTATTTTAATATTTTGATATAATAAATAAATTATGAAAATTTAATTTTCTATTCTACTTATGGGACTTATTAAGAAGTACTATATATTATCTTTAAGTACTAATTATTAATTATTAAAAAATATTACTACTAGAATACAATACAATTTACTATAAAATAGTACTAGGTATACAATATATATTATACTCATTATACTATTATATGTATTTTTCTTAATATAATTAATATTGATATAGAATTATATTTACGCGCGGTTTTCAAATGATAGTTGATAATAATAAATGATAATATTTTATAATAATTGATAAAAGTTCTTATTATATTTACGCGCGGTTTTCAAATGAACCAATGAGTGTGGGTTATTTATAAAAGGCGCTAGGGCACTATGGGGTTTGGTAATACGCGGCCGGGGACATGGAGCTTTTTTTTTCGCTGTTTTTGTCATTTGGGTTTAGCTTTTTTATGATTTGAATGTTTGAAACATCACATTCAGAAAAACCTTTGTCAGCTAGTTCTCTTTTAATTTCACATATTTCAGTTTCCGGGTGCAATCCACGTATTAGAACACGGAATTTTTTTTCGGCTTTTAATTGATATCTATGAAACTCAATGTTGTTATTTTCAATGAACTTTTAATGTTCGTCTAAACTGGTGTTCATCCTCTGTCAGGATTTTTACGTCACCGTTAGCGAAAGTTTTCAGTTGCTGTTCATGCCCTGGGGCTTCTTCACGAGTTAAATTGGTAACTAAGTTTTGTATATCATTTACACCACATGCTGTTATTGGTGGTGGTTTATATGTTTTAGGCACTGTTTTGATGATATTATTATCTATTTCATTGATGCGTTTATTACGTAGGTTTGAATTAGCTATTGATTAAGTTTTCATTTATGGAAGTATTATTAAAATTAATATTACTCACTTGAAGGTCCAGTAATTGACTCTGCAATTGTGCATTACTCGCTTGTAATTCGATTACAAGTTTATGTAATGTTTCATTTTCAGTTTGTATGCGAACCAGAATTTCTTGGTCAACTAAAATTTGAGCTGGCGCCGTGTGAGCATTTTCCGTCGAGCCCATTACTGAGCGGCGGTCTAAGCCGCCACGCTCGATGATTTAAATAATTTGTGTTAGAACACTTGACACTTTTGCGTTGTAAGCAAAAACATCGTATAGGCATATTTAATTTAATTAAATAAACACTTCGTACAATTCGACACACGCGATGGGAACGTCTGTCAAAAGGTACATCAAAATGAATAATTCAACATTTAAGCTACCCGATGTCAAAAAGCTCGTTATTGAAGGTGTCAATGAATGCGGCCCCGAAAAATGGAAGAACTTCGTCAGTCACGTAGAAGAAAAAAGATTCTGGGACATCGACTTTGTCGTGGAGGAAGTTATGGAAAATTTAGGTGATTGTGTGATGACAATAACTGGTGACACATCTTATTCAGATTCAGATTATTAAATATTAATATTTTTTTTTGTTTATTTTATTATATGTATATTTGACTGATTTTTAACTGATTAATTAAATTGTTACTTTTACCATATATGTTGGGTGTTATTTTTGTATTTTAATGAATAAAATACTATAATAATAATAAGAGTATATTAAAATAAATAAATACGAAAATATTTACGAAATGCTGGCAGGCGGCAACAATCAACAGGTTGTGCGAGTCAGATGACCGGTGGCGTCGCTAGCATCGACGTCGCGGTCGGTCCCCTATTATCGTTGCCACCGTCACGACAACCAGGCATCTTGGAAGGGGAAATATTTTCTCAGCGAGCAGCCGTCTTCCAGTCTACATGCGCAGAACCGGCATGCTCTCTCGCTGAACAGAGTATAAGAAATCAGCAAATTCTTATCTTACTAGAAAATGTTTTCATGCAATAATATTACAAGGTGTATGTGATGATAAATTGAGATTTATTGATGCATTTGCTGGTTATTCTGGATCTGTAGGTGATAGAAGAATATTCACTAACTCTTTAATTTATGAACGGATCTTGCAAAACAAAAATAGGTGAATATATTAATTACATTAATACTAATTTTTAGTGTTTAAAATTAAATGGTTAAAGCGCGTAAATTAGGAAATTAAATCATTTAGAGAAATATATTAGTAATAAGAAAAATAAGGGATAGAAAATCGAATATTATTAGGGCCAGTTGTACCAGTCTAGTTTAAACTAAGTTTAAATTGTTTTTTTTTAAACTCAGTTTAATACCAAATCATATGTTGTACAAGACTAGTTTAACATTTAAACCCAGTTTAAAAGCAAGTTTAGATAAACCATCGATCTTGATGGTTTAAACTAGGTTTAGTAATATTTTTGCCATAGATCCATCATCCATTCATTTTGACAATTATGAATTATTATTTATTATACTGTGATATTGTGATCATTTGTGTTCTCAAAATTTACTGTGCAAATAATTATTTCTACTTAATTAAAAATGAATAACGAAATATCGGAGGATGAGGATTTTGTTGAACTTATAAACTTTATTGCGAATGAACATCGAATACCAAGAATATTCAGGCAGCGTCCAGATTATTTTCAATGTCTTCGTGATTTTGAGTTTGTAGAAAGGTTTCGTCTATCAAAACCAGCAGTATTGTATGTACATGATCTAATTCGACCAGAAATTGAACATCCAACAGACAGGTAATTAAAGTTATGTACAACTAACAAGCTAAGCTTTCCTCCAGGATATGCGTCTGAATAAAAATAAAATAAAATACCAAATAGTACTTAATAATAAAGAGGACAAGTGGGTTAGGTTACTCTGCGCCTCTGTTGTACCTACAGTAGTTAGGATTGCATTGTATGCTAACTATGCATTGTGTTATATGTGAGTTCAATGATAAATCATTGCATATAGTGTAAGCCTGTGAGCATCTGTTAACATTACAAAAAATGATACTGAGTGGAGACGTTGTGTCCTCCTATAAATAATCCTAATATAAATTATCCAATTTAATAATTTAAATAAAAAATTTAAAAATTGGCTACATCTTACTATTATGTAAATAGCTTAACATTCTGGTAAACTTGATTACTACTTACTTTGTTTGTTAAGGGTAGAAAAAATTATGAGGAATCTTCTATTCAATGTATAATGTTACCTAGCTATGAAAATAAAAACATTTAATAATTTATAACTAAATAATTTACAAAATTAAGCCCTCCACAATCTAGATGTTCTGTAGGGGTAGGTGGGTATAAGTTATTATTAAATTCATTGATACACTTAAAACATATTACTTCGGCACTACTAATTCTGAAAAATTTTTGTACTAACTGATATTTTATTTTACCTTAAGAATGTAGCCATGTAGGTATTACATGGATTTTATAATTTTACAGGAACTTTGCCGTTACATCAAGACAAATGATACTAATGACTTTGAGGTATTTTGCGTCAGGTTCGTTTTTGGTTGTGTGTGGTGATTTTGTGGGGGTGCATAAATCAACTGCTTCAAGAACTATAACACGTGTATCAAGAGCTATAGCTAGACTTTGTTCTAAGTTTATTAGGTTCCCTGAGACAGAAGAAGAAATTTCAGTAACTAGGCAAGAGTTCTATGCAAAATGTAAATTCCCAAGGTGCATTGGTGTTATTGATTGCACCCATATCAAAATTAGATCACCTGGAGGGGAGGATGCAGAAATATATCGAAATCGAAAACAATACTTCTCTTTTAATGTCCAGGCAATATGTAATTCAAATCTTAAATTTATAAACATTGTAGCAAGATGGCAAGGTAGTGCTCACGATTCAACAATTTTTAACAACTCCGCAATACGAGGACAATTTGAGAGAGGAGAAATGGGTGATAGTTTACTCATAGGTGATAGTGAATATCCAATCAGACCATTTCTATTGACAAAGTTGTCAATTGCATCAACACGAGCTGAACAATTATATAACGAATCAATAATAAGAACGAGAAATTGTATTGAAAGAAGTTTTGGAGTGTATAAGCGTAGATTCCCAATTTTATCAGTTGGAATAAATATCCATGTGTCAAAAGTTGAATCAATCATTGTGGCAACTGCAGTATTGCATAACATTGCTATAGACTTAAATGAAATAGTACCCAATATAGTACAGAAATGGAAAACCTAATCAATCTATCATTTTTTGAACAAGGGACGGATGAACAAAATCGTCGACCTAATGGGGCAAATGAAATTACAAGAAACATTTTAATTAGATACTTTGAAACAATGTAAAATTTAATTTATAGTTATCAAGACAAACATGATATAATAATTTAATTTAATATAGATTAACAATTTTAAACAAACAGTTCTTTATAGTATGGTAATTGTATATACCTAACTATTGATTTCGAAAAGCCTTTAATTTTAAATCTAAAAGTTCCATTTCTTTGGCATGCTTTTGATTCATAAGCTCTATTCTTTGATCTGATTCTCGTTTTTCTATTTCAACAAAGTTCTTATGTCTGGAATTCATTAATTCAATCTTAACGTCATGCTCCTTCCTCATTAGTTCTTCCTGAAGTCCTACTAAATTTGTTTTGGAAGAGGCCCATTTAGTAAGCTTATCTTGTAATGGACGGTTACGAGCACGGCCTACATTGTGATATTTTAATTATTTTAAATACATTTGCAATTATACTTTGGAAACACCTATACATCATTGAAAATCAAGAAATTAATATGTTTAATATTATTTAATAAATTTGTCAAGCTTAATACATTTGTTACCTTGGACAATTTTAAATTTTCATCAAGTTTCTAAATCATTATAATGGAAATGTATGTATACTGCAAACAAACTTACTCTACAAAAATAACATTAACATTTATTTTCCATATAATATAGTTGAAAATGTATATAGAATTATATATATATTTATAGAAAATTGTTGAAAATTTAAAATTGTCCAAGGTAACTTAATATTGATAAATTCATTAAAACTTTTTACTTTCTTTATTTTAATCAAGTAAGTATGGTCAATGAAATGAACTAAATTTTTAAAATTTTAAGTTTTATTTTTAGGAAAAAATAATAGTTGACTGATAGCTCATTACAATGATCTTGTCAATTAAATACAAAATGTGAAATTAAAAAAAAATGTGTTTGGAACACGGATATGGGTAAAACGTTTTATGAAATATGAAATTATAAAGTTAGGTACTTACTACTTAATAAAAAATAGTATTTCATTATTATTTTCATTATTATTATTATTAAACTAAACTATACTACGTATTATTATCAAAGTTTAACTTTTCAATACAATCTACCAACATTTTCTTATTTTTAAATTTGTTTAAATTAATATTTAACTTTCTTCAAAACTCAATATTAATATCAATACCCACAATTTACATGTAATGTATGCATTATTCATTTTGAGGCATAAATTAATTAGCATTTTTTAAGTGTTTTAACATAATATAATACAATACAGTTTTTAGTTTTATTTTAGTATTTTGGAATTTTACAAAATTAATAGATACTATTTTATGTGGGTATGCAATATGCATTATTATTATTCAATTTAAAAAGAGCAATATATTAGGTTAGTAAATTAGGTATATATTTAGTAGGTACCTATATAGATCTACCTACACAACACAACATTATTTTTTTACCTTTAATTTCTTTTTGAATAGGGACATTACCAGAATTTTGACGATCATCTACTACTGTCTCTATAATGTTTTTATCTTTCAAAGTTTCAGCTCTGTAGTCAACTTAAAATAAAATGGATAATAGATCAACATATATATCAACATAACCAGTAAGGTTTTTATCTACCCTCAATCACTGGTTCTCCATCACTATCTATATTTTCGGGTTCTTCATTAAAAGATACATCAAACATATTTTGTTGAGAGACTGGTTGAAGTACATGAGAGGGACGAGTTCTTAACATGTCTGGACTATATTCAGACCAATCCAAAACTACATCAATTGGTTTCAATCCAGTATTTGAAGCCAAAATCATACCACTATTACTACTCGAGTTAATAACATTACTGGTTCCCGGTATGGTAAGATTCCTGTCATCATTAAACTTTGAATTAAAACCAGTCATCTGATTCCCAAGAATTTCCTGAAGCTCTGATTGTATCTCTGATGAAGAGGTGGATTTTGCAGGTCCTCCACCAGTACCACGTAGGTATGCTCTTTCATCAGAAAACACTTTTTCGCCACATTTTTTTATGTTTTCATACTTACTACGAAGAGTTTTGGGTGACCGATAACATTCACCACAAACACTGTTAAATTCTATAGCTAATTTTTCATATGAAGCTGCTTTTAATTTGTTTGAGTTTATGTCTGTTCTTTTGCATTCGATCGTTGAAGCATATTTCTTAACCAGAGCGAGCAAAGTTTTCTCTTCTTTGTAGGAAAAGTTGGTGGCTCTTTTTTTAATTGGAGTCATTTCTTAATAATTTTTATGTATTAGAAAATTATGTTTTATATGTATGAAATAAAATAAATTTATAAAACTTTAAAGTATAAAAGAATAAAGATTAATAAAAATAAAGATTAATATTATTCTGAAATTCTAAATTAATGTTATTAATTATTATGCTATCATATCATTATATCAATTATCAAACAAGAAGTGATAATGCACTGATAATAATAGTAGGTATTGATGTGGTGTAGTTGTCCTAACGTTCATAGAATCCACTGACTGCTCTGATAAACCTAGTTTAACTATCTGTAGTTTAAACTACCTTTGAACAACATGGAAAATTGTAACCTTGGTTTAATTTTTAAACCATGTTTAGATAATCTCTAGTTTAAACTAGACTGGTACAACTGGCCCTTAGAGGGATTTACGGAGTAATTAACCGGACATTGTTTTTTATAATATTCGAGCGTAGTACAAGCGCGTACGCATGAAACATCGCTGAACTGGGCGAGCGGAACGGGTGAGGGGATAAACCGTATCGAAATTTAACACGCGTAGCATAGGCGATTGAACGTTGTACGTGTTATTAGATAGGTACTCATCCATTTTCAACGTACGACGCGCGTTTACGTAATTTCTTTAAATTATCTATGCATGTTAGTTATTTTATAAGTAATAATTATTACGTATTATTAATGTTGGTGATGGTAGTTACGTATTAATAGTTTATAATTAATAATAGTATATATATGTAGGGTAAATACTATTCATAATTACATACGCGGATAGGATATTAATTGAATAAGTAAATTTAATAGATATAATTTATAAAAAATTATATATACCTAATGTTTAGATATATATATGACAGAATCCGATAGTTCAGATATTGAAACTAGTTATGCGGACAGTTCAATAAAAGTTAAAAATATAAACGTAGGAAGGAATTAAAAGCGGCAATTTTAAAAGACGCTATAAAGAAAGAATTTATAGAAAAAACTGGGAAACAGATAGTAACGCCGACAAAGCTGTTAGGGAAAATTTTGTAAGAACACTTAGTTTGACAGAACAGATAGGTATCACGCCACGAAAAAAGGAACAATTCGTAGGTCACTCAGGTACTAGGTCAGACTCGTGCAATTAGAACCAGTTGTTAGAAAAAAAATAATGAGTAAAATGGATTTAGATAAAGCAATTGCCATGATACCTATTTGCACGGGCAAGAAGGACGTAGCTGAATTTATAAACATTCGTGAAATCGCACTTAATGAGACAACGGAAGCAGAAACACCGATATTTTTAAAAATAATTACTTCCAAGTTGACAGGAAATGCGTTAGAAGTAACAAAATATCGAAACTTAGAAACATGGGGATCAATAAAGTCAATATTAGAAGGGGCATTCGAACAAAAAGTATCGGAGAGGGCCCTATCAATAGCTTTAAACACGGCACGTATGGCCGAGGGCGAAAGTGTGGCAAAATTCGATAGTAGAATCGAAGAGTTATATTATAAATTCTGCGCGGCAAGTACGGTAGGTCTAACTACAGCCGAGGCAGATATATTGAAAAAAAAAACCAAAAACGCGTGTGTCTCAAGCGACCCTCATAAGATGTGAAAACATATATTATATGAGCTTAGAATTTGAAGGAAAAATTTGGAAATAAATCACAAGTCTGAAAATATTACCTCCATAGAAAATTTGCTCGGTCGTACCTACGAAAAAGGTAAAGCTCGAAAATTTACACTGTCATGCAAAACGATTTTCACATCAATAAATATAGGTAGGTACTTTTGATTAAAAAAGTTTAAGCAAATTCAACCACGGTAGGTATTGGTTGTTGGAACTGAACTACTGAACAGACAAAACGCTGGATCATGGCGTTTGAAATGTTTACTTTATTGTTTAGCAAACAAACATTTCGAATTTCTCTGTTACCAAAGTTTCAACGTTTACCGACGTTATAGAATTTCCTAGCGTTAACCGATAATTTTGATAACGGTTTCAAGCCCTGGACCATGTTTATTGTTCGTAGTGTTTATCAACGAAAAACGCCCTCGAGAACTACCAACGCGCGACAACGGACGATGTACGAGTACGACGCGTTCGTAGTTGCGCGCCTGCGCATGTGATCAAATAGTAATATTGTATGTATACAATACATTTTTAGTTAACTGTTCACGTTGGTTGTCAACGATGAACTAATTTTACGCTCTCGCTCGCACTATGTTCGATGTCCGTGATCGTAATGAAGCCACGCCCCCTGAGCACAGGCGGCCTATCGTTGCGTCGCGTCGCACTGAGTCTCCGCCAATCAGCACGTCGGAAGCGCCAGCGTTACGCGAAAAGGGTAACGCTCGAATAACGCTCGAAAAAATTCACTGCCCAAACGGAAAAGTCTGAACGCCACATAAGATGTTTTCACATCAAAATAACAGGCTATGATCATATTTATGACAGGGTTACCTCATCACCTATATACAGTATTGAAAAGTCGAAATCCCAGTACCCTGGAACAATGTTTCAAAACGGCAATCGATGAGATGCTTGAATATGAGTCAAAAATGGAAATGGACAAATTACAGAAACAAATTGGTAACGGAAAACAGGCAGGCGTCAACAACGAGGAAAGACGACAAAACGATGGTAATGGAAATAAAGCAGTTAATCGCGGAGGAAACGGTAATTCAAATCAAAAAAAAAGAAATATTAATTTCAACGGATATAACAACAGATACATTAATCACAACAACCGCAGTAATTATGGGAATAAAAATCGCGGCGGTTATCGAGGCGGAAACAGTTATGGACGAAATTTCAATGGCAATAATGTACAACAAAATAATAATAATCGAAGTAACACCGGATGCTACACGTGTGGAAAGACTAATCACTTAGCACGGGATTGCTGGAGCAATCGACCCAGTGCGCAACAACATATCGATGGCGTAGCGCACAAGTGTGATAAGTGACATTTTCGTAATTGTTCAGGAGAACGATTTTTAAGTTTGAGATGTCATAACAAATTCAAAAATGTAACGAACTGTACGACGTCTATCGGAGTAAATAATGAACTATTCACTTACAACGTTTGGGCATAATGTGCAGAATTGTATGATTAAATTGATTATGCACTTAACTCATTTTTCAAAAAAATGTCACTTATCACACTTGTGCGCTACGCCATCGATATTATGTATAACAATAATCATGTAAGCGGCACGCGCGGTGACGCGTCATTTGATCCGGTAAATAATATCCGGCGACAAAAGATCCGCGACATTTGGTCCGGTGAAAAAATATCCTGTACCAAAAATATCTTTGGCAAAAATATCCGATAATTTATTTTTTATTTTTTAAATAATTTAATTAGTTAATACATTTAATAAATAATATTATAATCGAACGTTTTTTAAAAACATGTTTATATATAGCCTCAGATTTTGCTACATTTTGAGCATGTGAATGGTCAGTGTGTTTTAGAATCTCGCCTATGAATAAAGTGAATAAACAAATAGTTTTTTACTAAATAGTTTTTTAACTAATAAGTTATTTTAATTACCTGATTCATCTTCTGAAGTAGTGTGACATCGGCTTTTGCATGCAAATTTTTTATAATCAGAGCAACGCCATACAATTTTATTTTCGTACACTTCATGCTTGCTGTACAGAAAACCGTTATACACCAACATATTTTTGCCTTTTTGGATTTTAATAAATTTTAGTGGTATCATTCAAACTTATAAAAACCACGCGCAAAGAAATTTGTATCGTATGGACATTCACAATAAACACTAAGAAAAATCCAGTGTACTGTACAAAATTATGAGGACTATTATCGAATAGACGTACCTATACAGATTACAGAACACACACTAAATATGATTAGATTGTTCACATAGGTACATAAACTATAATCGACGAAAGTAGTACAGATAAGATTGATCGATATTTTTTCTGTCTCTACTATTCTTATAATAATGAAAAACATAATATAATATAATATAATATTTAAAGACTTATAGAGATATTTCTACTTATTTTTTATTTTTACTAAACTTTTACTTAAATATAAACATGTTTTTAAAAAACGTTCGATTATAATATTAAATTAATTTGTGTTACTATTAAAAATAAAATTATTATTTATTAAACGTATTAACTAATTAAATAATTAAAAAAATAAAAAATAAATTATCGGATATTTTTGGTACAGGATATTTTTTTCACCGGACCAAATGTCGCAGATCTTTTGTCGCCGGATTTTATTTACCGGATCAAATGACGTGAGTAGGATAATTATGTAGGTTCAGCAGCTCCTCCCCCTTAAATTTTACATGTAAAAGCATAGGCTTCTCTGTATAGGCAATTCGTAGTACAGGCTCCTCCCAAACTTGTATTAATTACTCAATATAGGCAACCCGCAACACACATAAACTCGTCACAAGCCACCCGATCCGACACGTGACCGACATATATTTTATGCCTTCCCCTTCAAATACATTACCTGTGTGATGGTGTATATAATATGAAAGTACCTATTTATGTATGAATTCTGTATATATGTGCCATGTATGGGAATAAATGATAATATATAATACAATAATATGTAAGTTTTATAGTATGTTTAGGTGTTTGTTTTAATGAATGTAATATTACTTTTTGAAATGTTGTGTTACACGGTGGAATACAACGCTTAAACTGATGAAACTTCCCTGTAAAAAGGTGCTCAGAATATTATTTAAATATGTATATAATATGTGAGTATCTAAATATGTATGAACTAACCTATGGTTATATGAGTGTATGTGCATGTATGTGCTAGAGAACGGGATGAACGAAACTCATCGACATCTGTAAACGGTTGCCCGTATATTATATATATTTCTGTATGTTGTCAGGTAGAGGAATGTCTGCGAATATCTCTATACTTCAACGTGTATATTTTGAAAAATATAATTTTTACAAGTTTATGTATGTGTGTGTTTGAGATACATTCCGGTGTATAACGTAGGCTTTAGCGATTCGTTTTTTTTTTTCGTATGTAATTATTTAATAAGAAAACTGTATACTATTTTAGATTCTGAGTGAAACGATGAATGTATTGATTTTACAATGATGTGTGTTTTTTTTTTGTGTCTGTGTACACGATAAGTAGTCGAAATAATGCTTCGATTTTCAACTTCAGTATCTTGTTCGATTGGAGAGTGAATATCGTTGGTGCATTGGGGAGGTCAAAATTTAAAATTCCCAATAGTTTTCACAAGCGCCGGGAAAAAACAACATAAAAATGAAGGAAAAACGGGAATTTTTACGCAAAATAGGTTTTTGACAAAATCGAATTTGGTTTTTGGTGTAACATTAAAACAAATGACCGTAGATACATGAAATTTTCACTGGTTGTTTATATTTGCATCTTCTATACACGATAACATTTTCAAAATATTTTGATTTATTTTGAACAGTTTAGGGACATTTTCATTTATCATTTTTTTTTAGTTTTTTTTCTAGAAATATCAATAAAATTTTATTTGTTGAGTAGAAATACTTGAAAATTTAATACAAGGTTCCTACTATATTGTTTCAAAGGCAGATGAAAAATATTAAAAATCGTTAGTCACCGTTTTTTTTTATAAGTATTTAAAGTTCAAAAATTGACAAATCACGAAAATTAGCAAATTATTCTGAGTTAAGAATTCGTAAAAATTTTTCTTTTTAAATCTAAGATTTGAAAATGTAATACAAGATTACTCATAAGTTTGTCTACCTTTATCAATAAAAAAATCTCTACCGGACAGTCAAATTAAATTTTTATGAGCGTTTGAAATTCAAATTTTTACAACATTGGATATTCACTTGATTTCTCATGTACCGATTTTCTTATTTTGTTGTAATTCAAAAACGAATAACTATAGATACATTAAAATTACACTGAATTTTCAGATTAGCATTTCCTATACACTGTACAATTTTGAAAATATTTTGACTCTTTTTGAGCTGTTATTTTAAATTTTTTTAGTTTTTTTTTCTATGAATATCAATAAAGTTTTATCTGTTGGGCCAAAAAGTGTAAAAATTTAATACAAGGCTCCTGATATATTGTTACAATATCAGTTAAAAAATATTAAAAATACATAGGCACAATTTTTTTTTATAAGCATTTAAACATCGAATTTTGACAGAATTCTTCAAAATCTCGAAATTTATTAATCATCGTAATTAATAAATTATAAAATGTTCAGTTTTTATAGCTAAGGATTGAAAATTTAAAACAAGATTCCACGTAAGTAGCTTATACTCTTACCGAAAAATCTAAAATATATACAATCACAGTTTATTTTTATAGTCATTTTATGTTCAAATTTGGACGAAATTACATGTTAAAAACCTAGTTATTTTGTTGTGATTATATAATATTTATTCGTTGGTACCTACTTGAAACTTCTAAAGTGTACTATTATATATCTATGATAGTATCAGGGTTTGTTATTGATGTTGATGTATAATGTGTTATGGATATTGTGATAATGTGATATGATTAATTTGGAATTTATTAAAGGTAAATTTTTTTTTTAATACCATAGATATGTATATAATTTGTCTTAAACCTAGACTGACATACCGTCTTCGCTCGGAATCGTTTTTCTTATACAATGATATTGAATCATTGAATTCAAATTTAATAGCATCCATTATACAGTGACCCACTTGTAACCTACTGTACAGCAGAGCGACATCCACTTACCCACCTTTTTATGTATGTTTGTATGTATGTATGTATGTATGTATGTATGTATGTATAGTAGGTAGAGAAAGACAGTTCTGACACCTCATCCTGCTGGCAATATACGTCTCATCATACACCGTCTGCTCATCACACTATACCCGTCTGCTCATCCTACTACACCGCCTGCTCATCACACTATACCCGTCTGCTCATCCCAATATACCTGTCTGCTCATCCCAATATACCTGTCTGCTCATCCCAATACACCGTTTGCTCATCCCTACACATTGATGGCTGCTGAACCCACCATATATCACACACGTTAACGATGTACCCCCGCCACCCCACCACCTATGACCACCGCTCGACATTGCCGCCGTGCGTGGAAAATAATTTAAAAATTTATCCGCCGGACCGGGATTCGAACCCGGTTAACTTGCATGATAAGCGACCACCGTACCACTGGGCCGCCTACTCGCATATGTTTGAGAAGGTATATTCTATCTCATTTAACTGGCGTTAACGACGTCCGCTTACGTACGCGAGGTATAATTTCCCCCACCACTATACCATGCCAAGAACCGCCGCGAACGCGCGCGCGAACCCTCCGGTGCGTTATCAGTTATCACAGTGACTTTAACACAAAATAATCTACTGGTATATTTTTAACAATAAACGTTCATCACATTGACAATACCACCACAACAGCCACCGGCAACAGCCCGATCGCGTACGTGCGCTACTATGCGTTATCATATTACCGTTAACACTTGTACATTACCGCGAGCAGTTCTGCCCTAAACTGATATCACTTATCACATTACTGTTAACAAATAATAATACGAGTGCACATGTATAACATGGTATCCTCATATAATTGTGCAACACACTACCTTTATTATATATATATACATGTAAATGCTAAACACATTATTTACCTAATCCCCACTACCAAACACATTATACATAACCCCCCACTACATACCATACATGGTTTAACAATTAATACTCGATCGTGTGAATATTCAGTCTCAGTTTTGATTTAACAGCGTCAAGTTGTAAGTCTCAGTATATTGCTATAACAGTGTTAATATGGCAGGACCAATAAGTGAAATGAAACGGGTATACAATTATGTTGCACCTACATCTCCACATGAACTCATGGATTGCTCTAATTTTACATTAGACTTTAAAAATCGCAAATTCTTGAACATCGGATTCGATCCAAAAGATCAGTTCAATATCGTTTTGCAAATAATTACACCGTCACGGTATGTAAAAATTTCATCAGACTTCTTGAAACGAATTTATTCAGTCATGGGCCATGTTTTGTCACACGTTCTCGATCCTGTTGTAAAATATAAAAAAATTATTTTTTTGGAAGATGAAGTCGCTTTGCTTACAAGTATGGTGTATAAAGGAGAGCATGTGTTGGTTATACAGTCAAAAACAACAAACGGATGTAGAATCATATTAAGTCGTAGAGATCTTATGACAATTCAAGATTTAGAGTGCGCCATTTTTGAAACAATTTCAAGAAAAAACGATATCGTAAAACCTATTATTTTAAATCAACTCGAACAAATATCCGAATACTTTAATACTGATTTTAATATTGATAAATCTGTGACACTGGAAGAAGTAAAAACAATAATCAAAGGAATTGATATCGAGTTAATCGCAATGCATGTACCGAAGCACAAACATAGTTTTATAAGCCAGATCAAATTATTCGCAACTGAACAGCTAGCTATCAATTGGATGACGAAGAATTTGCCAAAAGTAAGAATATATATATATATATATTAAAAAAATTATTTAACATATGCATTCAATTAGGCAAGTACTTTTTTTATTATGATTACTTATTTTCTATTTATTTTAGTATTATACGGAGACCTTTGACGTGGAAATGCTGCAACCATCCCCACCAAGATACTCAAGTATGTCTCCATTAATGACATATAACGAAGACGATTTATCACAGTCACGAGTAATTTAAAATTA